TTAACTGGGTTTTAAAAGAACACCAAATGTGTCACACAGAGCCCTGGAATAGAGAGAAAAAACCAAGACAGAAGAAAAGTCAAGAGACTAACAATAGAAAATCAGTTCTCCAAAGATGTGAATCATTGCTTTTGAATGGCAGAGCACCCTGGGGAGGTGGATGGGGCAGAACAATACGTGAAAGTAGTTGAGAGTGTAAACTCTGCAGCCAAGCTGCCACGGAACAAATTGCAACTTGCTCTTCCCCAGCTGTGTGACCATGGGCAAGTTCCTGTACCTCTCTGTGCTTCTTTTCCTCAATTGCAACAGGGAGCTAATAATACTATGTGCTTCATCAGATGGCTGTGAGGATTAAATGTGTCAGTACAGGCTTAGCCCTTTGAGCAGTGTATAGTACATATTAGCCACTTCCCTTTTCACCAGTTCCCTTGTTGCCTTTGCCAGATGCGAATGTCATGCCCAATGTGGACTGCAGGCAGCAAACCAAATAGGAGGAGGAGGGGGGCCTTTCCTTCCCTTGGGTCCTGAGCTCATGTATGCATTGGAATTTTCAGTAGAAGGAGACCTTCTCGTGATGTCTGGACACCCATCAATATGTGGATTCCACCCCCCAACACTTGTCCATATTTGGACACGTTTTAAAAATCAGTTCCACATTTCAAGCATGTCAAGCTAGGTTTTAGCTTTAGTGTCTCCTACATATTTGGAATTAAAGCCTCTAGAGTCCATTATGCAAATCCATGCAAATAATATGCAAAGAGGCAGCATCCCCAGATTGTGGGGAGCCGGATTGTGTAGGCCAGCACAAAGGGCCTTGAATGAAAATTTGCATGTGTTAGGGAAGCCCCCGGTTGAAGGCCTTAGCTGTTTATTGTGACAGTGTGCATAGCATTTAGTTGTGAACCTTTTGTGCCAAAGAAGAGAGGTAAATGGTAGTCTGATTTCCATACTGAAGGTGACAGTAGAGGTTAGAGGTGGTGTTTGGCTAGTACAACATTGTAGGGATTTTTATTATACAAATGAAAAGTTGCTTTGAAATAATGGCTGTGGTCCAGGCTGAGTCCCCAATCAGTAATGCATTCTTGGACAAGGTTGCGGTGAGCTAAGATCGCGCCATTGCATTCCAGCCTGGGCAATATATGTTTATGTATTGCCCTCCTGTTGTTGCCCACTCTGTGAAACGAGGGGATTGGATTCGGTGAAATGCTAGATCCCCTCACACTGTAACATCTAAACATCATCTTCCAGGTAAAAGCCCTTGGCACCCAGGGTGGCAGTATCCATTCATTGTGCCAAAGATGTACTCAAGTCCAAAGAAGAAAGGGCTAAGAGGTAACTCTACGGTTCTTCTAGAGAGAACAGTAACTTCAGGGGATGCTGATAAGCTGGGTGGGGAAGTAGGCAGCAGCAGCAACAAGGGCAAACATATTTACTTAGGCTGTGTATCTTACAGCACCAAGGATTCCAGTCATAGGCTTCCCAGCTAGGAGGATGTTAGTTCCTGGAGTGCCAGTGACAGGAAAGTAAGGGGAATTATTTTCTCTGAGTGTTTTAAAGACCAGTCTCTATTAACCCCTCTTTCTGCCTCTGGAGTGCTGTAAAAGTTCTAGAGGCCATGGTGGCTCATCTCACACCCGGGGGCCTGTCCCTGTGGTCAGCCAGTGTCTCTCCTAAAGCTTTGTGTTGCATTTGACATTGCTGCCAAAAGACTGCTATGTCCTCGGTCTCTGGTCTTTGATTGTGTCTGACACATCTGGTGCCTGGCCCCAGAGATTCCCCGGGCCCTTAATTTTAAGTCCAGCTGTTGCAGCGAACACCAGCTGGGTGCAGGCAGAACCTGGCAGCCCCTTGGCCCAGGGCTTCTCTGGGCCAGCCAATGGAAACCTGGTATCAGTCAGGAAGCGAGATGAGCACCCCAAGAGCAGCCCCTGACCAGTGAACATGAGAGCCTCTGGGTGAGTGTTCCTTTCAGGCAGACAATTTGAGGTGCAGCCTACTCAGCTCCACCGATGTCCCCAGTGAGTCTGAGGTGCCCACCTGGATCAGCTCATAACCTGCCCTCAGATTGGTTTTCCCTGTTTCATTTGTCTCAGAGCCCCATGGCTGACCCCACAGATCACTTTCCAGTATAAGCTTCCTGCGCACAAGCCCTCTCTCTGTCTCCTTTTTCAGAGGATCTCCAACGTCAGGCATGTATATGAGTTTGCTAGGGCTTTCATAACACATTACCACAGACTGGGTGGCTTAACAACAGAAATGTATTTCCTCACAGTTGAGGAGGATGGAAGTCCAAGCTCAAGGTGCCCATAGGGTTGGAGTCCTGACACCTCTTTCCTTGGCTTGGAGATGGCGCCCTCTAGCTGCTGTGTCCTCACATGGTCATCCCTCTGTGCACACATGCTCTGGATGTCTGTGTATCCTAATCTCCTCTTCTTAGAAGGATACCAGTCAGATCCAATTAGGGCCCACTCTATTGGCCTCATTCTACTTTAATTACCTCTTTGAAGGCCCTATCTCCAAATATAGTCACATTCGGAGGTACTGGGAGTTAGGGCTTCAATCCTTTCAATAGGGATTTTGGGGGTGCACACGTCAGTCTTTAACACCACTTAACACTTGTGAACTAAACAGAGGCTTGAAAGGAATGTCCCTCAAAACATGGAGGTCATCACCACTAGCCCTAGGAATAACTCGTCTCTGTGGTGTTAAGCCATGGGCAGGATAGGGGCGCTAGGATAACCCTGAACAGGTCAGAGCATGGCAGCACATTAATTCTTCTGGGATGCAAGATACCATCCTCTTTCTCCTAGTGCATCACTGATGGTGGTTGGCCAGGATGAGCATGCACTTTAAAGGCAGCCCTTGTTTCACATACTTCTACTGTGGGACTTTGCACATGTTGCCTAATCTCCCCAAACCTCAATTTCATGTCCCACCAACTGGTCATGGATTAAGGTAAGCATTGAAAGCCTGGGTCAGGGCAGGTATTCAGTAAACAGCTTTTAGGATTGGCTCGAGTACGCAGAAGGTACTGTTGGTGTGTGGTCTAGATCAGGGGTCCCCACCCACTGGGCCGCAGACCAGTAGCAGTTAGGAACCAGGCTGCACATCAGGAGGCGAGAGGCCGGTGAGCCAGCGTTAGCGCCACAGCATTCCCGTCAGAGCTCTGCCTCCTGTCAGATCAGCGGCAGCATTTGATTCTCCCAGGAGCACAAACTCTGTTGTGAACTGCACATGCAAGGGATGGATCTAAGCTGTGTGCTCCTTATGAGAATCTAATGCCTGCTCATCTGAGGTGGAGGAGTTTCAGCCCCAAACCATGCCCCACCACCAACTCCAGTCCATGGAAAAACTGTCTTCCACAAAACCAAGTGGAAGACAATTTGTCCTTGGTGCCAGAAAGGTTGGGCACCACTAGTCTAGATCATGAATGAAAGTTTAGAAAAAAATACTGTTTAGGGCAAATTTTTGGTCCTAGAGTTGGAGGGTGCTGCAGCCTCAGTGCAATCTAAAGTCCCCACAGCCTCCCACAACCCACCAATTTAGAAGTGCAGGGTGAGAGGGACACTGGTCCATGTCAAGGCTCCACCACACACCAAATGGTGATCCTGCGCCTTGTGTCAAAGGCATGCCTGGAGATCTCCTCCCCATCTCTGTTGCCTAGAATCTCTCCAGGGCCCTGCCTTCTCCCTCAGACACCTGGGAATCACAGCTGGACTCCTCTTTTGGCCATGTGTCTTGCTGGAATCTGATGGGGGAAAGAGGCTCGGAGAGAGTAATCAGACACGGAGATCTCTCTCCATAGTCAAGGCGGGCCTGGCAGAGGCTGGAGGAACGGCTGGAGGCTGACAAAGAAGGGGATTCGTGAACAAGGAGATGCCAACAGGTCGGAATCAGGCCTCAGAGGTCTCTTGGCCGCTCCTCAGCAGTACAGACAGGCTCTTGCCAATCCATGTGTTGTCAGGGAATGGCTCCTACATTTCACGCTTGCATGAGGTACCATGTTTAAATATAGGCATATGCTGCTATGATTAATAAAATTCACACATAACTAGAAATGTTTTTTTTTTTGTCCTTGTGCATTTTCTCAATGAACTGAAACTATGCACACTGATTATCATACAAAATCCTTTCAAAAATGTTCAAAAGAGCTCCTTCTACTCAAAAAGGCTGGGTATTACCAATGACAATTTTCCACAGAGTTCAGCCACATGAATGCCATAGGAAAAGCAGTTAATAACAACCATGACACCAGCTGGCATTTGTAGAAGGCACCTTCTCCTCCAGGCTGTGCTAAGTGCTTTTATGGGCTCCAGGTCTGGTTGCCCTTCTCTGGACCCTGGTCCTTTTCTGTCTGTCACTCTTCCATGGTACTGAGACATCTTTGTCTTATTTTAGGATTGTTTGCGGATATGTGCGAACTTATCCAGGGTCAGGGAGAGGGTTGAGCCTCCTTGTTTGGTAAATGGTTGTGAAGGGACAGAGGTCTGTTCGTTTTTACCTTTGTGTAGTTTGTAAATGGACGATTCCGAAAAGGGCATAAGAGTTGGTCCACACTGCCTCCAAGGCCTTCCTCATTTGGCTTGTGGTGGCTCCCACAGGCAAGCTGGCCTTGACCTCTCCTGGCTGCAGAGGAAGAGGCAGATATAGAAGCCACAAGCCTTCTGCACCCCCAGCCTGTTCTGAGAAGTTGCCCTTGTGGGGAGGGCTGATGGCGTTTGAGAGGCATGTGGGAAAGGACAGGCCTGGCAGCGTGGCTGCTCTGGTCCCCCTGGTGCTGGTGTCTCTTTCCAGGAGGTGCCAGGCAGCACCTACCTAAAATATACCTGCCCTAGCACCACAGACAGTTCTGATGCAGTGTGGGGACACTAGAGTGGGCCTCAGGAATGCTCCTGACGTTTCCTGAGTTCCCAGCACTGTCCCTGGCCACAGGTAAGAAAGGCCCAGGCTGTATGCTGTTCCCCAAGTATTTCACCCCTTCTCTCTGTCTCCCTCTCAAGGTTTCCTGCTGATCTTGGCACTGACCGAAGCGCTGGCATTGGCCATCCAGGAACCATCTCCCAGGGAATCCCTTCAGGTCCTCCCTTCAGGCAGTCCCCCAGGAACCATGGTGACAGCACCTCACAGCTCTACCAGACACACTTCTGTGGTGACACTGACCCCCAGTCCCCCTGGACCCCCCTCAAAGGCTTCAGCTCCCACGGCAACACCGACATCTCGTGTGGAGGGGCACCCTCCTACGCATACCATCTCCACCATCGCTGCGACAGTAACCAACCCCCATTCTAAAAGCTCCCTACCCACAGAGCCCACTCCAGTGGCCACAGCAACCACATCCTCCCACTCAGAGGGCCGCCCCCCCAGGCAGGCTACTCCCACCATCCTGCTGACAAAGCCACCGGGGGCCACCGGCCGCCCCACCACAGCGCCCCCCCGCGCTACCACACGCAGGCCCCCCAGGCCCCCCAGGCCCCCAGGCTCCTCCCGAAAAGGAGCTGGTAATTCATCACGCCCTGTCCCACCTGCACCTGGTAGCCACTCCAGGAGTAAGGAAGGACAGCGAGGACGAAACCCAAGCTCCACACCTCTAGGGCAGAAGCGGCCCCTGGGGAAAATCTTCCAGATCTACAAGGGCAACTTCACTGGGTCTGTGGAGCTGGACCCCTCTGCCCTCACCCCCAGGACCCCGCTCTGGGGCTACTCCTCTTCACCACAGCCCCCGACAGTGGCTGCCACCACAGCGCCCAGCAGTACCTCGTGGGCACCTCCCACCACCTCCCTGGGGCCTGCAGAGGACAAGCCAGGCCTTCGCAGAGCGGCCCAGGGAGGTGGTTCTACCTTCACCAGCCAAGGAGGGACGCCAGATGCCACAGCAGCCTCAGGTGCCCCTGCCAGTCCACAACCTGCCCCAGTGCCTTCTCAGCGCCCCCACCGCGGTGACCCGCAGGACGGCCCCAGCCATAGTGACTCTTGGCTTACTGTCACCCCTGGCACCAACAGACCTCCATCTGCCAGCTCTGGGGTCTTCACGGCCGCCACGGGGCCCACCCCAACTGCCTTCAATGCCAGTGTCTCAGCCCCTTCCCAGGGGATTCCTCAGGGAGCATCCACAACCACGCAGGCTCCAACCCATCTCCCCAGGGTCTCAGAAAGCACTATTTCTGGAGCCAAGGAGGAGACTGCAGCCACCTACACCATGACCGACAGGGTGCCCAGTCCTCTCTCCACAGTGGTATCCACAGCCACAGGCAACTTCCTCAACCGCCTGGTTCCTGCCGGGACCTGGAAGCCTGGGACTGCAGGGAACATCTCTCACGTGGCCGAAGGGGACAAACCCCAGCACAGAGCCACCATCTGCCTGAGCAAGATGGATATCGCCTGGGTGATCCTGGCCATCAGCGTGCCCATCTCCTCCTGCTGTAAGTGCCGCCCTCGCCTACCCAGCCTGTCCCTCCACCACATCACTGACTCATCCCCAGCATTCCTTTGTCCCTGATTTGGGCATCCCTGCCAAATGGGTTACAAAAATCCCCAGAATCTCAGGAAACTAGGCGGCAGGACAGGAATCACCGGTTATCCCTGACCCTAGTCCTCAGCTCTGCCAGGCCATGGCTTGAATGCCCACTGGTCATAAAGCCACAACCCCCAGGAGCTGGGAGAGGACCTTACAGGCAGTCTAATCCAACCCTGCATTTTGCAGAAACAAAACGCCAAGCTAGCAAGCAACGACATGACTCACCCAGGATCCTAGAATTAGTGAGAGGCGGGGCTGGGCTGAGAGCTTATAGCAGCTGTCTTCCAGCCCAGTGCCCTTGTCATGACACCACTCTGCCTCAAGGTAGCCTGCCAATGCCTCTAGCGACCTGGCACCACGACACCATAGATGAATGCTGATGCTTCAAAATGTACAGCCTCCAGCTAGCAAGCCCCTCACCTTCACCTCCATCCTCTTTCTCGTGTTTTCTCTCCTCTCGTCTCTCTTCTCTCCTTCTGTCTCTCTTCTCCTAAGAAAGAAAAAGAGGTAAAACTTTCATCTGGTGGGAAGTTCTGTAGCCTTGGCAAAAACCTAATTCTTGCAGCTAAATTAAGGCTTGAGAGTTACGTAAATTCTAGCAACTCTCCACTCCCACCCCACCTTATTTGTTCATAGGTGATGTGAGCGGGATGCAGTGCGGACCTTGTCCTTGTTTTTTGCCCTCCCAAGGCCACCAGCCCCTCCTTGCTGCTGCCTGACACTCCGTGAATCAAGAATTCTCTCTGTTGTCTCCATAAAGAACCTGATACAACCTCTCAGAACTTTAGGGATTTCATGATGCCTTCCCTCATGGACTTGAGCTTTGATTCTTAGTTTCTCTGACAGCCTTTCAGGAATCCTCAGCCACACCTCAACCCAAATGGTTACCATCTGCCACTTCTGGGCCCTTTCCAGGGATGACCACACTGCCCCGCCCTCATATCCCCGCTCCCTGGACAGCCCATTCTCCTCAGCCCCTCCAGATTGTTGCCCAACTCCCCTGGGAGCCTGAAGTTTGCCTGCCTGTGATTCCTATTCTGTGGTCCTAAGCCATGCCATCTGAAGCCATACAACTCTAGTTTGTCTAGCAATCCCTGAAACATTTGAAATAGCTCTGAAAGGCAGCCTTCTTTTCATCCAAGCTGCTCATCCCCATCCTTCAAGTCATGTTTGTAAGGCTGCATTGCCTGGGCCTGTCTCCCATCTGCCCCCTCTGGATGGCTTCTACTTTGTCTCCCAAAAGGAAGCACAGTGTTCCACCTGTGTCTGGCTACGGCAGAGGGAGCTGATTCTGGGGAGCTACACTTTCTTTAGTAGCACTCAGGCAACCCCCACTGGCCTCAGCTCTACTGGTTGTATTGGGTTCAAGTCGTACCTAGGCTTGCCCTGATCTCAAGAGGAACAAAGCCCTGAAGGCTTTCCCCCAACCCTGGGTGATTCGTGCAGGAGGTTTATGCCTTTAATGTGAACCATTATATCCACTTGGCCTTGTGTGACAGGATCTTTTTAAATCTGGAGTCTAGATTCTCTTCAGGAGCCACCTCTCCCAGCTTTCTGTCTCCTTCAGGTTGATAAGCACAGTAAATTTCCATGTCAGGGCTGGGCGACCTGCTTCTACTGAAGGACCCAATTCAAGAAAAGTGTTTGCAAGTTGCATATTTCATTCTTAATGAAAACAGCTTTCTGGTATCTCATGGAAACACACACTTTAGAAGTGGTTGCCCACTTCTAAAACAGAAGAATGGTCATGAAAAAATGTAGCACTATTAGCCAATAAAGTCTTAATAATGGTTGGTCATATCTGAGAAGTAGCTACAGTAGAGACAGCTTTCTAATTTTCCAGTCTTTACGTGTGTCTAGAATTCTCTAGATACATGTGCTGCGTGCACTACGTTATTAAAGTGCATTCCATTATTTATTTATCATTCCAGAGAAATGAAAGCAGAAATAAGCAAACACACTGCCCAACACACAGGCAGCTCAGGACTCAAGCCATGCTCCACTCCTTACAGGTGGGGAGTAATCATTAGGTGAAGTGATTGATCCGGGGTCCCAAGCACACACACAGTCAGCCTAGTAGTACAAAATGTGTTTGGTTCAGTGCAGGATTTCCTGTGTGCCCACTGTGTGCCAGACACTGCACCAAGCGCTAGGGCATCTGAGATGTGGGCCTCCCTCTTTGTCTGAGCTGGATAGCCTGCACCCCACAGGCTACGCCCACCTGGGTTTTGCAATTCTAAAAGGACTCCTACTTCCCCCCCAGCCCTTCTGTTATGTATAAGGTTGAAATTAGATCAGATCTTGCTGCAAAGCTGGAAAGCCCATGGGCTGCCTAAACCATGCATGAAAATGTCAGCCAAGACAGAAGCAAGAACACAGCCTGGAACTGTCCCTTGAGGATTCTTCTGGCATCCTGAAAGGAGCCTTCAGGTGCTGGAGATGGAACATAGTACCTTCTAAAGAAAGATACAAACTTTTAATAAAAGTGGCTTCTAGTAGCCCCTTGGGAACCTCAGACCCCACCTTCCTTTGATGCCTGTCTTGCATTTCCACTATACACAAGGAGGCTCTTGCCTGGGCCCTGACTGCCTCCACCTCAGCTCCCTGTCCTGAGTCATGGCCCCAGCTCCTATGGGACCATCGTTAACCCTGTGAAGGCTCCAACGAGAGGGACAGTAAGGTGGAATAATATTCGTCCAGCTTCAGAACCCTGTGCTCTCAGGAAATATCCTCATCTATTTGGGCTGTTGTCATAGCCCAGCACCACTCTAGTTATCAGGAAAAGCAGACCTCTTCCAGGTCTAAGGGCCACTGGTTTTGGACCTTCTCAGTGGCTTCATTTATCCTAAAGCTACTCTACAGACCTCAAAGAAGGGTTTCATCTTTTGCCAGTTTGCCAGATATTTCAGGCACTCTGAGTCAGTAGCAAAGTGCATGCATCAGTTTCTTCTCATCTGGCTTTTCATACCAGCACTGGCCTCTGCCCTACTTCTCTCTGAAGCCACCAAAGTCAGAGCTCAGATGGGTGCTGGGCAGGGGTGACCCTCTGCTCCTAGTGCAAGTAGGGGATGAGCAAGGCAGATCCCAGGCCTGACCAAGGAGGGAGGGTGTCAGTTCACCTGCCCTCCCAGATCACAAGCTGCAACCAGTGGCTGGAAGGATATATGTGTCCCGGGGCTGAGAAATGCTTTTCCTCTCCTGAGCCCTGCCAGACGCTCTCAGCCACACACATTTTCAGAAGTGCTGAGAACTGAAATTGATTGGATCCAAGCCATACTGGGCTAGGGCAGAGGAGCCAGCTGGCTCCTGAGCTGGTCTCTGCTGCCACCATCAGGACGCACAGAGCCCACCACCTTAGCTAGAAGCCTCCAGGCCTGGCACTGAATTGGTCCGTGCTCACCATCGTCAAGGCTCTGGGTTTTCATGAGCATGAAAAAATGTAGCACTGTTAGCCAATAAAGTCTTAATAATGGTCGGTCATATCTGAGAAGTAGCTACAGTAGAGACAGCTTTCTAATTTTCCAGTCTTTACGTGTGTCTAGAATTCTCTAGTTTTGTGGCTCTGGCAGGCTCCTTTGCCTGTCTGTCACATGTGATGTCCATTTTTGAGACTCTCTTCACCCATCCCCTCTGCAAGAAGACAGGACTGTTTGTTTGGAGGCTGAAAAAAAGACTAGCCGCAGATGTTTGTCATCACCAACTCAAGTTCAGCCTGGGCAAAGTGGAATAGCCCCTCTCTCTGACGCTAGACACTTGAGGGCACCCTCTGCACCTGGGCCCAGAGCAGTCTGGCCTCCTTCCAGACACTGGATCATTAGTGTGTCATTCAAAGAGATCACACATCATTGTGCCCAGTGGTTGTTCAGTGAATATTAGACCTGAATATATGTGTGTCTTCTCGCTCGCATGCCCTGAATGAGTCTATAATTATTATATAAGAAAACCTAGGCTGGGCATGGTGACGCACACCTGTAATCCCAGCACTTTGGGAGGCTGAGGCAGGTGGATCACAAGGTCAACAGATGGCGACCATCCTGGCCAACATAGTAAAACCCTGTCTCTACTAAAAATACAAAAATTAGCTGGGCATGGTGGCACATGCCTGTAGTCTCAGCTACTTGGGAGGTTGAGGCAGGAGAATCACTTGAACCTGGGAGGCAGAGGCTGCAGTGAGCTGAGATCGCACCACTGCACTCCAGCCTGGTGACAGAGCAAGACTCTATCCCCCCAAAAAAGAGAAAATCCAGGTGAGAATGACTCTTGCCCATGAAAACAACAGAAGAGATTGGGACCAGAAGGCATTATGGCTGGGAAATGTGTCTCCTTGGAGTGTACGGATCAAACAGGGATGGGAGAGCCTCAGGGCAAGGCAGGAGTTTCCAGGGGATGTCCCCCGGTCATTCCAGCATTAGACCCACACTCTGACAGCTCTTCCCTGTGCATCCCAGTCAGCACCTCTGTGGGAACTGCGCCCCCAAGCCTGGCCTCCCTCCATACCCTGCAACCTCATCCCTCAGCCTCCAAAGGAGGGAAATGGCTGTGCACAGCCCAGATGCACCCCTTACACTGGCACCCCTGGGTGAATCCTTTCCTTCACTGGTCTCTGGCTTCTCATTTACAAAACAAAGGGCCCAAACTGAAATGTGTCATCACCCCTTGTCCTCACCGTTAAGCCTGTACAGATCACTAGAGAGGAAGCCTGGTGTGCTTTTAAGACTTGGCTTGTGGAATCAAACATACCTGTACAAACCCCAGCTCTTGACATTTGTTGGCTGTAGGACTTACGCAAGTGACTTAACCATTTATCCAATGTCTTCCTGTTTGCAAAATGGGACTCCTGTCCACTGTGTTAGTTCCTTTAAGATGTAGGCACCAAGATGGGATTAGGCATATAAGAGAATTATTGGTGGAAACACCTGTAAAATGTTCAGGAAGGAATCGAAGTAGGCTGAGGGAGCCTGACTTCAGTGCAGGCCTGACCCCCATGAAAGGAGAAGGAGAAGGAGAAGGAAAGAGGATTCAGTAGGAAGAGTCTTAGACTGCAGTACTGTTCTGAGAAAGTTTCTGCCAGCCAGTGGAAGTCCTTGAGCCATTAGAGGGGTTCCATGTCCAGCAGGAACAGGCCTGCACTAGTACCCCTGTCATGGCCAATCACAGCTGACCAGGGCATTTTCATGGCTGAAACCTCAAAGACTTGTAAAATCAGAGATGATGCATGTTAGGTCTTATCTTAGTGTCTGCCATGGAGAAGGTACTCAGTAAATGGCAGTGATCGAACAATGATGATTATTCATCTCACTGTTGATAGGATTTGCACTGCCTGCTCAAACAGGCCAGGGAAAGAACAATTCAATAGGTGTTTGAAAAGGTTGAATCCTCAGGGGACCTGCAGGGTTTCATTTCCATTTCTCATCACACAGCAGGTCCTATCACCTGAAAGCCTGCCCCTTCCACAAATGTGAACACAGTACTAAGGGCTCCATCTTAAAATCAATGACCCCTCTTCTCCCTGTCACACATCTGACAAGCCATGGATGACTCCCCAGTGACATTTCTGGGAAGCCAAGAGAGCTTAATTCTGAGCTCTGTTTAAAAACTCAAGGAAATTGGGACTCCATAACCTCCTCCAGAGTCTTGGTGGCTACCGCCTCAGGAGAAACCGAGCAGTTGAAACTTTTCAACTAAATGAAAAAGGGAACAGCCAATACCTTGTGTTTGCAGAGAGCTGCATAGTTTACAAAACACTTTTGCATATGTCATCTCTATACCCTCCAGTGTTCAGGACAGTATAGGACAGTGGATATCAACTTGAAGATCATCAAGACCTGGCTTTACATTGCAGGTTGGGTGATCAAGATCAATGCTATTAGCTTCTATGACCTTCAATTACCTGTTCTGAAAATGGGAAGAGTAACATGCCTTCCTCAGGCAGTTATCATGTGGTCTAAATAAGCTTTAAAGTGTCTGGATCCGTGCTGGGAATATAGTAGAGACCCTGTAAGTCTGACTTGTACTTTTCATTCTTGGATGAAAGGCGAGACCACTGAAATAATGAGTGTTCCAACCCCTAGGGGGAGCTTTGGCCTGAATCACCGAAGAGTCATGTAACAGTTTTTCTTTCTAGGTCTCTTTTGTAGAGGATGTTGGGAGAACAAGACGAGAACTCTCATTAATTAAGCATCCACTGCATTTCAGACATCGTGTTTGGCATTTTGCATCTATGGTCTCTTTAATTCTCATTACAAGCCTATGAAGTCCATTTTAATCAGAGAGATGAAGTGACTTTCCAGATGGAATACGTGGCAGAGTCACAACTTGAACCTAGGTCTTTCTGTAGCCAGGCTGGCTTCCAGTAAGCGAATGAAATGGTGTTTGAGAAGCACTGGAAACTGTGCACAGAGAAATATAATCAGGCCAGGAGCACAAACATGCGAGGGGAAGAAAGCGTGTGGCAGAACTTTCTGACTCCCAGGCCCTTCCCACAGTGCAGGATCTCTGCATCTGGCATTTTAAAAACATGGGCTGTTAGAGCACTGAGGTGGGGGTTAGAAAATTTGGACTCTGCAACCTCTACCAGCCCAGGTTAGCAGCATGTTCGCCTCTCTAGGTTTCCATGCCCCACCTTGTAGAATAAGAATGTAGGCTGGGGGAAGGGGCTGATTTGGTTCAGCATCTACTGTGGGCCAGGGACGATTTGAAATGCCGGCAGATGTCTGACTACATTTAATCTTCCCAAGGAAGCTGAGGCTGGGAGAAGTTAAGTAACTTAAGTCATGCAAGCAATACATTATCACGTAAATTCTAACTTCTATGTCCCTCTTGCCATATTGACTAGGCTTAAGATGGGCCTTGATTCTGTTTGCATGTAACTACTCAATAGTTAGAGGCACAAATATCTTTTTACCTTAGAGAAGTATGCAGACTATACAAATCTGACTCACAGATACATTTTCCCCCATCAGCCTGTGTTTTGTGTCTATGGCAATGTTTTGTGGGGTAATGATAGGGCATAATAGAAGAGTTGTTCTGTTTGTCCCAACATAGGAAATGTCCCTGTCAATTGCTCCCCTCCTTCCAGCTCTAATTCTACCAGAACTGAGCTGGAGCTGAGGAAACAGCACTTTGCCCACCTCCCAGATGGTTCCCTCTTTATGGCTTCTGTCACAGCAGCTAGAATTCCCCCAGGTATTTCACCATCCCAGCTGCAGGAGCAGAGTTAAAGGTAGTGACAATGAAGAATAGAGACACCAGAGAAGGGGAGAGGAGATCTGGGGTCTTGTCCCAGCTCTGCCACTCACACACCTGTGACGTGTGGCAAGTTGGCCAGCACGTTAGGCCACAGTGTCTCCTCTAGAAGAAGGAGGTGGCTTAAATTAGGAAGTTTCAAGCTGAGCACCACCGCCCCCTCCTTGCCCCTTTCCTCTTCAACCATCTGAAGAAAAGGTTCTTTGGAAGGAAGAGAGGGAAAAAGAAAAGAGACTCACAATATTTGAAAAATTCTGTACCACCTAATCTCTAAAATCCCTCTTAGCTCAAACATTCAGAAGTCTCCTCTGTATTTTAAAGGTTTCTTTGTAAAGGATCTGGAAGAATGAAAAGCAAATTAGAAGTCTTTTTGATCAAAGCAGATCAGATCAAGTAGAAACTTACCCTATCTCCTAACCTTCTACAGAGACCTTTTCAGAGGCTGAGAGGCCAGCAAGGCTGGCGGCTCGAAAGGAAGCTAAAGAATTCCCCAGGCAGCCCTCAGGGCCCTGGGCTCTGAGGTTCTCACCCTGTACACAGGCCAGCTTTTGTAGCTGCCCCATACCCCGGCAAAAACCCACCCCTGACATTGGCCAGACCCCCAGGATGCTGCGGATAAAGCTGGCCCTCTGCCACCCTCTGCTGCCAGCCTCTCTAGACAGCTCAGCCTGGGCCCCTGACTCTCCTGCACATGGTTGGCACCACCCGGATGTTGGCTGTGGCCCTTGGTTTCAGCTCCTCTCGTCCCCAGAGGCTCTGGTGATGATGAACCTGGGGCAGGATACACTCAGGCCTGACTTCATGGCTTCTCCCCAAGAGGGCCTCTGTCACCCGTGTCCTTGTGCTACCCTTCTGCTGTGTGAATCTAAACAGGCCTCCCCCACCTCTCTGACCTCAGAAGCCTTCCCTGTTCACAAGCCACTCAGTTCACACCTGGTTAATCAGCCAAATCCAGACATAATTCTTCCTCCTGGGCCCTGCGAGTCTCAGGGATGAACAGACAGGGTCACATGTCACACTGTGCTCAGTCAAGCTATGTGGAGTCCAATTCAGGTCATCTGTGCAAGAGGGCTTTTGCGTCGGCCTAAGGCGGGAATCAGCTGGTTAAGAGCATAGATTACTGGGCATGGTGGCTCACACCTGTAATCCCAGCACTTTGGGAGGCCGAGGCTGGTGGATCACTTGAGGTCAGGAGTTCGAGATCAGCCTAACCAACTTGGTGAAACTCCATCCATCTCTACTAAAAATACAAAAATAGCCAAACGTGGTGGTGGGTGCCTGTAATCCCAGCTACTCAGGAGGCTGAGGCAGAAGAATCACTTGAACCCAGGAGGCGGAGGTTGCAGTGAACCGAGATCACACCACTGCACTCCAGCCTGGGTGATGGAGTGAGACTCCATCATCTGGTTCCCAGCTCCAGCTGGGACCTCTCCTCACCAGTCCAGTGGTTCAGATCAGGCACCATCCTTGCAGCCTCCCTCTCCTCTCTGACTTGCACTCTCTCCACAGCTGTCCTGCTGACGGTGTGCTGCATGAAGAGGAAGAAGAAGACTGCCAACCCGGAGAACAACCTGAGCTACTGGAACAACGCCATCACCATGGACTACTTCAACAGGCATGCTGTGGAGCTGCCCAGGGAGATCCAGTCCCTGGAAACCTCTGAGGTAATGAGCTTGGAAGTACTGGCCCCACTGCAGGGAAACCAGGCCCAAAGACAGCCATGCGGCATCTGCTCATTTCTGAGTGCCTTGCTCCTTAAGCCTGTGGACCAGCAGCATCAGTAACACCCAAGAGGTTGTCGGCTCTGCCCCACCCCTCCTGAACCAGGATCTGTGTTTTACCAAGAATCGCCAGGTGCTTTCTGCACATTAAATTTTGGAAGCACTGTTCCTGGGACTTTTGGTTTCCGGGAACAAGTGAACAAATACTCCGTGAGAACCTGTTTTGTGCCAAGCACTCCCAGGGGACTGTGAAGATGAGAGCTTGGTCCCAAGGGGCTGAGGTTCTGAGATGTGGCTGGGGGACAAACCCCAGCATCACCCAAAAGCAAAGCCAGTTAGGAGAAGCACAAGACGAGTCATGGAAAAGGAGCTGTGGAAACCCAGGGAGGAAAGCCTTCCCAGTGGAGATGCTAGAAAGGATCGGTGGATTTCAGCAGGCATTCCAGCAAAGGAAGTAGCCTGGGGAGAGGTGGGGACATGTGCTGGATCTGAAAGGAGAGAAAACACTGTGAGGGGGTGTTTTCCCAAGACACCTGGCTGGTCAGTGAGAAAGCCGAGCTTTGAACCCAGGACTCTAACCACAGAATCCACACTCTTTCCATTCTCACACGGAGGGTGGAGTAGAGGCCACCGTGGAATAGCAAGGAAGGATAAAGGCCAGATTAGACACAGCCTTGAATAGGGTATTACAGCATCGGGACTCTAGTTTGGGGCAGCAGAGAATCACTGAAAAGTTTTGATCTTTGGGTGACCCAGTTTTAGAAGGGTTATGCCAACGGCCTGGTGAAAACACCCTGTCTATGATCAGTGAATGGATAAGGAAAAGAAAAAAGAAAAGTCATAAGAATGACTTGATGGATGAGTAAATGGATGGAATGACACAGAAAGACAGAGTAAAAATAGGTAGCTCAACTAGGATGTGATCGAGATGGCCCTGGAAAAAGATAACAGACATCTGAGTAAGGCAGTGAGAGCTGAGAAGAGTTCTTGCAGAGCTACAGCCCCCACCTTCCCATGTAGGTCCATTCTCCAGGGTGAGCTTTTGTAAACATAATTGTGGTCACATTGCTCCCATGCTTAAAACCTTCCCATTTCTCTCAAGTTAAAGTTCAGAGTCTCCAAGGTAGACCTAACCCAGCCCAACTTTCCAGCCTCACATCATACCCCTCTTCCCCTCTTCCGCTAAGCTCTAGCCACACGGGAATTCATTTTGTTCCTTCCCAGCACCAAATACATCACACCCACTCCAGGTGTGTGCATGAGCTGACACCTCTCCTGCACCGTCTGCAGTCTCCCCAGCAGCCCCTTCTCTTGCTCACCTTAGTGACTCCAACTCATCCTTCAGGGCCCAGTCCAAATGTCAGTTCCTCAGCGAGGTCTTCCTTAACCTGCCAGGCTGGGTTCAGCTCTCCTGTCACATGGTCTCAGCTCCCTATGCCTTTTCATTGTGACACTTTTTAGAGCTGTGATACATGCGCCACTGGTCTGATACTAGCTTAGTGCCTCTCTCCCTCACCTGAGTAACCAGTTGCTTCCACATTGCTAAACCCAGGAGCCGATTCCGAGCGCTCATCCTACTCCATCTGCAGCGGCACTGGCCGTCACATGGCAGCAGAGGCCCTGCCCTCTCAGGCTCTCCCCAGCTCCCGTTCCCGATTCCTTGTCCTTTCTCCAGCCTCTGTTCACTGGAGTGCCCCATCTCGGTATCTCGATCCTGCCACTACCTCTCTTCTCTTTTTTTCTTTTTTTGAGATGAAATCTCACTCTGTCACCCAGGCTGGAGTGCAGTGGCATGATCTTGGCTCACTACAACCTCCACCTCCCAGGTTCAAGTGATCCTCCTGCCTCAGACTCCTAAGCAGCTGGGACTACAAGCACACGCCACCACATCCGGCTAATTTTTGTATTCTTAGTAAAGATGGGGTTTCACCATGTTGGTCAGGCTGGTCTTGAACTCCTGACCTCAAGTGACCCACCCGCCTCAGCCTCCCAAAGTGCTGGGATTACAGGCCTGAGCCGCCATGACCTGCCAGTTCTCTTCCCTTTCTGCTGAATCCCATGACTTAAATACCATCTCTGCACTATAGAGTATAAATGTCTACCTGTAGCCTTGACGTCTCCCCTGACCCCAGACTCACATACACAGCTCCCTGCTGCTGCATGTGTCTAATAGGCACTCAAACTTCACACACCCAAGATTGAGCCCTTGATTTCCCCTCCTGCAGCTTCTCTTTACATAGATGGTACTGCCAGCTGCGCTTCCTTCTTGTATACCCTACTTCCTGTCTGTCAGAAAAGACAGTCTGTCAGAAAATTTTACTGATCCCTCATTTCCTTCAGGTCTCTGTTCAAATGCCACCTCCTCTGGGAGGCCCTCCCTCCCGCACCGCTCTAAATTACTTAGATCCCCCACCGCGTTCTGTTTCCTCTTCCTTGCTTTATTTGTCCTCAGAGCACTTCTTACTGCTTGACATTGCGTCCTCCTCTCTCTGCTGATTGGTGTATGGTCTGCCTCTCCTGCTGCCTGAGGCAGAAGCATGTTTGTTGTGCTCACTGCTCTAGTCCCAGCACCTAGAGCAGTGCCTGGCACGTGGTAGGTTCTTAGGAAATGTTTATCAAGTGAATGAACTATAAATGTTGTTCACCACAGTTTACCCGTCACCCAGCCAGAGCCTAACACACAGTAAATGCCCAAGAGAAATTATTCACCAGAGGACAAACAAGGGGCCAGCTTCTTTGCAGCAATGACCTTTAGTGTGGCCTGTGCACATTTTGCATGGAAAAAGCGTTCCTGAGATCTGCTATAGTAAGTGGGGAAAAATGTGTAACTTGACAACAGGGCTGGTCCTACTTTAGGGATGGGCTGTGAACCCCTGAACCCTAAATTTCTCATATTCTCTTTGCAAAGTGGTCAATGAAAACCAAAGCCAAAGGACAATACACATGAACGCACTCTAGAAAATGCCCTTGCTTTTAGAACATCCCAGTTAGTCACTTGGCACAGAGCACGAGGGCCGCCATCCAACACAAGCCAGAGTTTCTGGTGGAAAGGGCTGCCCCGCCAATCATGATCTCTAGACCAGGACCTGCAAGCACAAAGCTCCGCTTGGCTTCAGAGCGAACTGGATTTTGCTGTTTCCCTCCCAGCAAGCAGTTCCTCTCATTCTGCTTTATCTAGAGTAATATTACAATCTGTTCCAGCTCTCCAGGCTCACACTATTTGAGGGCAAAGGCAGGCAGGCTGGGACCAGGATGAAGCCAGCTGGGTGCACGTGCGCGCGCGTGCCGTGCTCCACCTTCTGTGTCGATGCAGCAGCAACACACAGGTCTAGGGCTGTACAGGCAAAACTGTGATGCCCAAAAGGTGCTTGGAAACGTCCACTCTTTTTTCTCTCTCCGTCCCCCTCCTCCCCCTCCTCCCTGCTTTATCCCGTTCCTTCTTTTCTCCCTCCCCATCTCCTCCTCCTCCTTTTTCTTCTCCTTTGCCTTGGTCGTTTCCTAAATAACTCTCTCTTTTTTTTATGCAGCAAAGTATACCCACATGGTTTTGCCTTTGGTGGATACTTGCTTTGTGAAAGCTATAAAATGACAAGCCTGATCCAGCCTCCGCAGTTGAACCCAAAAGCACAGTGCAGGAAAAGGATTTTGGTCTCTCTCAGGTGCTCCACTATTTTTCTTAGACAGCTGGCCCCATGTCCACATTTAGATAAGTGTTCAACTAATCCCAGACACTAAAGGCAGTTCTTGTCTTCTGAAGAGACATTCGATCAACAATGCCATTTCTTCCCTTAGGATTCGTAGAGCAGTAAGTACTCCTCAGGACGTATCTATTACGCATGTTTTGTTTAAAAATAAACTTAATTGCTTTGCAAAATGATCAGAAATGAGGAATAAAAGCAAAAAGCAAAAAAATAAAAAATAATCAACTTAAGAGAATTAATTGTGGCTACTTAAGATATTTCTAACCAAATCTGGCATGAGCCAGTATACGTAGGCCTATAGTTGAGTCTTTGCCCTGAAATGGCTTGAAGGTTCTGAGTCATTAGCTGTTTTAATTGGAACAAGCTATGACTTTCTTTTTTCCTTTCTCTAAATTAGTACCAGGCCCAAATCCAAGCACAGCCACTTAGTGACCCATAAATGTTTGCTGTCCTTAGTAGCTGAAACCAAAACCCTGCCAAACCCATACAGATTACCTTCTGGGCAGTGGATTGCCTATTTCTAGGCCTTTCTGCTCCTGCAGTTGAACATACAGACTGAAATTTTCCTTTATCATGTATTGTGCAGTCACACAGAGATGCAGATCCATTCAGCTCAGCATTGCTAGTGCTATAAGAAATGGGGCATTGATTCTGACCAGAGTCTGGAAGGCCTGAGAATAGGGAAGGAATTGACCCTTGAAGCCTCTTGGCAGGCCTGTTAGATCCTGATACGTGGGTAGCAGGAAGGGAAAGGGGTGAGTAAATCTATGTATATTCAGGAAGGAGAAGCAGAGTTTCCCAGAAGTCAGTGAGAAAGGCAGGAAGTATAGTCTGGGGTCCATGTGGACCAAGTTTCACTACTAGTTCAGTGAGCCATGCACTGTATGTGTGTGATGCATGGCAAGCCCCCTCAGACTTTGACAAGGAAAATAGTATCACCTCTGGCAACCTGGTATTGGGGTAATTCCAGAAGCAGGAAACATTTTTTGGGAGCTGCTATAAAAATCTGAAAGAATAGCACAAAAATTAAAATACACACGCACACGCACACACACACACGCACGCACACACACACGCACACACGCACAGACTAATTAAAAGAATAGCAAAGAGGGCTGTGTGCCTCAGCATTAGCAGTGGGGATGATGAAAATGTGTGCCAAGCCCTCAATGCTGAAATAAATGTTCCCACATGTACTTTTAAGAACGGCCACCCTAAGCCTTCTCCAGCTCACTTCTCCTTCCTCTCTCCCCCCAGGATCAGCTTTCAGAACCCCGTTCCCCAGCCAATGGCGACTACAGAGACACTGGGATGGTCCTTGTTAACCCCTTCTGTCAAGAAACACTGTTTGTGGGAAACGATCAAGTATCTGAGATCTAACTGCAGGAGGCTTCGCTTTGCTATTCCCTATTTTTCGTCTCTAAATTATAAATATACAAATATATATATTATAAATATAACCTTTGTGTAACCCTGACTTAATGAGAAACATTTTCAGCTTTCTTTTCCTATGAATTGTCAACATCTTTTTTACTAGTGTGGTTTAAAAAAAAAAATTTACAGAATGATCTGTGGCTTTATAAAATAAAGGTATTTCTAAGCAAAGCAGTTGCATTGATTGCTTCTCTTAATAACTATTTTTGAGCACCTGGGGATCCCAGGCGCCCTGGTCAGGTGAGGTAAGAGACTGACCTATAGAAGCTGAATGTCGCCGTGGTCAAGCGCACAGTTCTTTGAGTGATTCTTAAAGCTCTGGTTCCTCTCGATTTGGTGTGGCCCACCTCTTCCCTCTCATACGCACACCTGTAAAGGGAACTGGGCCACCTGGGGGGAGATGGCAGACTCATGCACAGGGCAGGAAAAGGGAACATCTCATCACCCCCGAGGATGAGGGCCCTGGAGCCTCATGACACCACCATTGGATGTCATGTTTAAAAGCTGTAGACAGCAGACAGAAGCATGGAGTCCTTGGGAATCCACGGAGGACATCAAGGCATCCCAAGGCCACGTCCCCCTAACATTGCTTCCACTGCTAACAAGACTGCCTTTCCCTGGTGGGAAAACGTTCCCTCCATGCCCCTTCCTGCATCCCTTCCAACACTCAATCTGCACTAAACACCAGTGCCTTTCTCTCGGAGAGGGTTTAGATGCAGATCCCAGCCTTGGAGCTTTAAAATGCTTGCTCTTCTTCAAGGATCAAATGTTTATTGGGGTTTAGCTTTGTTTTCTCAAAAGGCCATGGTATTGTACCCCTAAGGAACATGTTTATCTAAGAAGCTTTGAGGTAGCAGAGCTATGATTTTTGAAACCTTCCTCCTGCAATCTTTAAAAAAATTTAAAAAAAAGATTGCTGAGCAAATCATTTCAGAGAAGACGTCGTTACACTCCTACTTGCCCCTGCAAACCTGCTCGCAGCACCAGCCGGTGGACCTGCCCCACAGCTCACAGCCTCCACTGCTCCCCTCGTTGCCCACTGGCTGGCTGCCTCACCGTGCTGTGTCCAGCGCGGCCAACAGGGTCAGACCCTCAGAGATGCCCAAGAGGCTTCCAGAGGTGGCTGCTTCTCTATTTTTTCCTGATCGTGGCTAAGAGAGATGATGACTGCTTTGACACTTTCCTTCTCTAAAATAAAACTAGTTTGATAGTATATTTTGAATATAGATGCTCTTATAGTTGGATTGGGAATTGAACTTGAATGTTGATTCATATGTTTGTGTTGTTGCTGTGGTCTTTTTATCATGACTTTTTTCTTTCTGCGTTTTTAACAAGCAGATGGCCTTCAAAAGTGTGTTCTCAGTGTTGTATAAAACTACTTCACATGAGTTCAGTTGTTGTCTCTCTTCAAAGAGTCTTCAACCCACAAAGACGCAGGTTAAATGTTTCTCTAAGTTTAATTTTCTAGCGTGTTGTTGTCTGACCTTTTTAACCTTACCATAATATTTCTGTTAACTGTTACATTTAATATGCCAATGTGTGTGAGTATACATAGAGAAAAATCTGTAAAGTAAAATTTATATATAATATATGTAATCCAAGATACATATGTTATATATACGTATGTGGATGTATGACTTATTTTTCCTTATCCACAGATTTCAGCTACCATGTATATATAAATAAACTTATTTTGTTAGCCAGAGGATTCCGTTGCTAATGCATTTTGCATTCTTTTCATTTTAAGATAAGTTCTAAGTCTTCCTTAAGCAGTACCAATGCCAACTTTATGTCCATGGTATTTTTTAATCTGATTTAACAGGTGAGTTTTATGTACATGACGAGCTAATAGGATTAGCAATTTATCTTTTTTTTTTTTTTTTTTTTTGAGACGGAGTTTCGCTCTTGTTACCCAGGCTGGAGTGCAATGGCGCGATCTCGGCTCACCACAACCTCCGCCTCCTGGGTTCAGGCAATTCTCCTGCCTCAGCCTCCTGAGTAGCTGGGATTACAGGCACATGCCACCACGCCCAGCTAATTTTTTCTATCTTTAGTAGAGACAGGGTTTCACCTTGTTGACCAGGATGGTCTCGATCTCTCGACCTTGTGATCCACCCGCCTCGGCCTCCCAAAGTGCTGGGATTACAGGCTTGAGCCACCATGCCCGGCAGCAATTTATCATTTGATAAAATAAATCTTTTTGAACATGTTTGCAATTTCTCCAAACTAGAGTCATCTTTCCTCAGGTCTTTGGAGATAGCGGTGTCAATTAAAGCACGTCCCCCACCATTCTCCCCATCCCCAGGGCTGAGTGGATTTATATAGTAAATATCTTTGGCCCAGAGATGTCTGAAGTTAACCCGGCCATTGAGTGTTACCGTTGTGTAGAGAATAACAATGCCTAAACATGACACATTTGTGCATACCTTAATCAGTAGCTTGAACCTTTCGTTCAGCCTTGGACAATACATCTTGGAATTCACAATAACATAGATCCTCAGAATCAAGTCAGTGTCACCTGTACAGGAGGCTGTGACTTTAACGCAGCCTCTCATGCTCCTTCTGGGTGTGTCAGGGCTGGTGCTCACAGCATTAATGCTACATCTGAATAAACAAGGACACTACTGGCTTTTATGTAATCTAATCGGTTCTTTCATCTGTTCATCAAATAGCCCCAACATTGATATTTATAAAAACCTCCTAGGCCATGTCAAATGGACAAAGTGGAAGACAATAAAGAAAGGAAGGGTTGGAGCATCCTGGTCAGCAGGAAGGAAGTACACACAGATCTTCTAGTAGTAGACCAGGTTTTTTAACTTTACCTGGTGACCTCGTGTAGGTACCCTGCTCTCTGGGTGGTGGGCAATATGGAGGCTCCTAAGTCACTGGCCCAGAGGTTGGAAGAGGCTGTCTTCCCCCCAGCTCTGCTACTTTCTGGGACCTTGGACAAGTCATTGCAGCTCTCAGGGTCCTCCTCACACAAGAAGATAGTGGCCAACCACAGGACACGCGATATGGCACTTTGGAGCTGGGAGGTGCACAGCCCATATGGCAGTACTTGTCAACCCTGGACCTCCTTCCTCCTAAGGTTGGCTTGAGAATTTCATGAAGTAAACTATAGGATTCAGGCACACAGCAGGCTGGATTTGGTACTCACTAGAGATTGGCTCCCTTCCTCTCTCACCTGAGGTACATTCCTAAATTACAGCATCTGGAATAATATCCAGTTCTGGGGTTTGGTGACCTGGTTTCTCCAGGCTAAAACTTAAATACAGAGATTTTTAGGTCCATGTTGTCATCCTGGAACTTGAGGAACCTTCCTGATCCTAGAGAACTGATTGAAGTGTGACCCTTGATGGCTTAGTGGATGCCAAGGTCAAAAATTACAACACAGGGGTGTCATCATACCTAACTTGAAGCACCCTGGAAGAGCTTGCCAGGAAACGCTCTCTTCGTTGTTTTTATGTATCAGTTTTCCAACCGATGGGGAAGAAGCAGAGGTGGAGAGAATGGCCAGAACACAACGTATGGGGCCTGAATTTGCCCAGGGTCCTTATCTGGTACATCAGAAAGTTAGAGGCTCAGGCTGATGTTCAGAAAGTGAGGTCCAGAGGGAGGAAGTATCCTGGCCAACAACGAGCAGCTGATGAACAGAGCATCTGAGGACAGAGATGAGGAAGAAAGGAGAGAGACAAGGGAAGGACCAGAAGCTGCTGCCAGGACTGAGACGGGGGGAAGGAAACCACAGGCAGGGGCTCTTCTCCTGGGTCCCTGGCGCTGCGTCCTGCCGTTTTTCATCCTCTACTGCCTGTGTGGACATGTGTTCACATTCACATGTGCCAGCACACATAGGGATGTAGAAAGCACTGAAATTAGTCCTGAAATAGCTAGACTGAGTCTTAGCTTGTCATGTGAGGTCTGGGGCAAGTGATCACTTGTGATCTGAGGTCATTGAGCCTCAGTTTATTCGTCTGTAAAATGGGGTTGCTTGATGCCTGCCTTGCCCACTCTTAGGTAGTAAAGTGCACAAACCCAGATGAGCTACCCCCACAGCCTGCACTGATCCAGCCTCCCCCACCACCAACAGAAAAATCTAGGAGGTTGGGCACATGACCCTACATCAAAGAATGCATGAGTGCCTCTCTGCACGCAGCCCTGGCCAGTGCCCATTTCTCTTTCAGCTCAGTGAATGATGGAAACTCATGGAAGACAGCAGACAAAGCAGCCCCGGGGATAGGGGAGATTCCAGAGAGGCCCGTGACCAGGCCACAGGGATGCTGGGGCTGTAAACCAAAAGCCACTGGCCTCTGTAAACCCACTTGGGCACCACAGAGGCAGAAGGGGTGATGAGTGAGAGGCGAGTAGTAGTGGACTTGCCCACCAGTGCCAGCTCCAGCATGCCCCTCCAGAGGCGCAGGGCATCCTTCAGGGGACTGCGGTCATCATCCTCCCTGGATAGCCCCCCAGCCTCCAGGACCAATGCCATGAGTGGCCTTGTCCGAGCACCTGGGGTCTATGTAGGAACAGCGCCCAGTGGGTGCATAGGTGGCCTGGGTGCCCGTGTGACCCGCCGGGCCCTCGGCATCAGCAGTGTCTTCCTTCAGGGCCTGCGGAGCTCAGGCCTGGCCACAATGCCGGCTCCAGGTTTGGAGCGGGACCATGGTGCTGTTGAGGACCTGGGAGGCTGCCTGGTGGAATATATGGCCAAAGTGCATGCCCTTGAGCAAGTCAGTCAGGAACTGGAAACACAGCTTCGGATGCACCTGGAGAGCAAGGCCACGCGCTCGGGAAACTGGGGTGCCCTTCGGGCCTCCTGGGCCAGCAGCTGCCAGCAGGTAAGTGTCCAAGCTGTGCCGAGGGCTTTGCAGAAGGCTGGGAGGGGCTGCTGAAGGCAGGGGTAGGGTTTTTCTGGTCTTTCTCAGGCCAGAAAAACTGACCATAACCCCCTACACTTTCACACTTAAAATGCTAATGATAACAACAATGCTACTTTTTCATCGAGGTTTACTAGGAGCCCACGCTAGCCCCCGTACGTGTGCTATTCACTATCTTCTGTAACCTTCAAAGAAATGCTATGCAGTGGATCATTCATTGATTACATTTTTCAGATGAGAAACTGAGGCATGTAATTTGCCCAAGACTTCAAAGCTAGTAGAGGGATAGAGATGAGATGTAAACCTGAATTTTTGTGTCTCCAAAGTTGCATTTGCCCCATTACCCTGGGCTGCCTCAGTGACCTTTACTGTTGAGAAAGGATTTTTACAGCCATTATCCAATCAAATGCCATCAGATGGATGCGGTATTAAAAACAATGAATAAATGGAGGGGTGTTCCTGTATCCACCTACAACCATGCTGTTCAATAGAAATCGGTACATCGGTAATTGACAAGTTTCTATTGCCCACAGTAAAACAAGTAAAAAGAAACAGGTGAAGTTAATATTATAGCTTATTTAACTATATGTCAAGAATGTTATTTCAACACGTAATCAATACAAAATGTATTAATGAGATAATTTACCTTCAAGTAGAATTTTCTGCATGATGGAAATATTAGTATCTTATATCTGTACTGTCCAATCTGGCAGCCACTAGCCATATATAGCTATCAAGCACTTGAAATGTGGCTGAGACTGAGGAATTGTATTTTTATTTTATCTAATTTTCATTCATTTAAATATAAATAGCCACAGGTAGCTAGTGGCTATCTTACTGGACAGGGAAGGATGCCCAGGTTTCATCTTTCTCCCTTGCTTGGTCAGCCCTGCTTTTCCCACTCTCCAGGGTGATTTCTGCAGAGCCTGGAGCTCATCCATCCCGTCTGGCCTGTAGCCTGTGGTTCTAATGCTGGGACTCCAGCCAGCATTACACTTCTCAGCTGGTCTCTCTGTGGATGGCTGGCTTCTCTCCTCCCCTTTCTCTCCAGATGCTGGCCTTGGGATCCCTCTTAACAAAATCAGCCTCTAACCCACCAGGGACTGCCAACTCAGCCCCTTGGCCCCCTGGAGTCCAGCATGCAGCCTCCCAAGAGGAGGTCACCAAATTGTATTTGTGTGTAGCTGGGGAGATGCTGAGCAGGTGCACACAGGGACTCCCCATTTGCCCCTCCTGCCTCCTGCTTCATCCCAGGATGCTTCTCCTGCACTGTTGCCACTGCCCGCTGACAGCACAGAGCACATGATGAACAGCACTTTCCTCTCAGGCTCTCCCCCTGGTGCTGTTGTTCCGCTTGCCTCCATCTGGGCTGCTCCATCTTTGAACAGTCCAGGCCCTTAACGCCTGTCAAATCAAAGAGGCAGCCATTCCTCCAGGACTCGTCACAAACTGTCCTGTTTCCAAATATCGTCCCATAACCACCACCAGAACATCCCTGGATACTCTACTATGTCAGCAATCGCTTGCACTCAGGTGCCACACAGACTTGTCAGGAGAAATCAGGTGTCCCGATTTCAAGGTTAAAAAGTAGGGCCACAAAAACTTAGTTTATGCTCAATAGATACTGACTTGCTCTGGCTCCAGATAGCTATAGGAACTGTTGCGACTTACTGACTTCCCTGGGCCTCAGTTTCATTATCTACAAAATGGGTATAATCATGCTTGGATATTCTAGCAAATCCATAGATAAGATGCCTGGCTCCTGCCTACAAGCAGAGTATAGACTAGGAAGCTCTAAAATCCTGTGAAAGCAGCACAGCCATGCGCCAAGACACACACCCTCTGTCATTGAGGGTCAGGCTCCCACATGGCTCACTTTCCTCTTAAGTGCCTATAAACGAGATCCCGGCTATGAATAAAGGTCTCTTTTTCTTCTTTTTTTAAAAAAACATGGACTTGAAGATAGAGTTAGACCAATCAATAAAATGGAGTTATTATTTCCTTTTTTTTTTTTTTTTTTTTTTTTAAAGATGGAGTCTCCTTCTGTCACCCAGGCTGGAGTACAATGGCACGATCTTGGCTCACTGCAACCTCTGCCTCTCGGGTTCAAGCAATTCTGCTGCCTCAGCCCCAAGTAGCTGGGATTACAGGTGCCTGCCACCATGCCTGGCTAATATTTTTGTATTTTTAATGGAGATGCGGTTTCACCCTGTTGGCCAGGCTGGTCTCAAACTCCTGACCTCAGGTGATCTGCCCCCTCTGCCTTCCAAAGTGCTGGGATTACAGGTGTGAGCCATCACTCATGGCTCGCGTTATTATTTCTGTATTGCACAGGCCAGCCTTTCAGCCATATTAAGCTCTATTCCATCAAGAAGAACAAAAAAAAAAAACCTCTGTAATTGAGAAATACTCACAATTTTTTCCATCAATCTGGCCTCGAGGAGCTGCAGGAGGCCCCCACCGGGCCCCCATCGCCTTTTTTTTCCCTAAAGGCCACCTTCCAGCCCAGGCCTTCCACAAAGTACTGCCTTCGCCTCTCTTGGAGGTCAGAGGCAGCCACTCTGCAGTCCTGGGCTCCAGAAATCCAGTGCTCCCTCCCTCTGCCCTCACTTAGGCCCCTCTGCCTGGGGCTTCAAGCCCACCTTTCCAGACTCAGGGCTCTGGTGTTCCGTGCTCCTCACAGCACTCCTTACCCTCCCATTTCTCCACCTGCAGCCACCTCTTCCCCACCTTGTCCACCTCGCAGAACCCCTCCTTGTCCTGCAAGCCCAGTTCCATGCAACCCTCTGTGACTCCTCAGGGCCCACGCAGCGCCTGAGGCCTCCGAGCAAGCTCTCAGCAACTAAGCCCTGAGTTGGCACCTAGAGAGACATTCGACCTCCTCCTTAGCCTGGACCCCAAACAGAGAGTCCAAGGGAGGCCTGTCACTCAAGAGCAGGGTAGGGGATGTCCATTTTGGTGGCACTTTCTTGCATCAGGCTGGAGCAGGCAGTGGGGAAGTTCAGAGCAAGCGACAGCTTCCATAAATGTTTGGGAAACAACATTTCCCCTTGCTTTCAGAGGGGGATAAAAGAGTTGGAAAGGGGACAGGCTCTCCTCCCCACCACCATCCGCCAGAAGACACAGAAAGCTCCTGGGGCCATTCTGGGGAGTGAGGGCCCCCCGTGTCCTGGAATCTCCCCACAGTCTGTCTCACCCTCACCAAGAGGAGACAAAGACAGGTTTTCAGGAAAAGCAGGAAGAGGAGCCGGGGAAGTGAAACCAATGCTGTCACTGTGCGGAAAGCCGCATCACAGAGAGCAACACAAAGCTTGGGCATCCAGAGGGCTCCCGCCATGGCAGAGTCAGGAAGGCAGCCCTGGGGAGGGGTCTTCTCCATCCTTAGCACCATTAAGTTCGGGGCCGAGGTTGGCTCCATGGGTGCACCTCCAGTGAAGTCTCATAGGGTCCTGCACTGGATCATATCATAGATCACTGCAACCTCCAACCTCTGGCCTCAAGAGACCCTCCTGTCTTGGCCTCCCACAGGGCTGGGGTTATAGGCATGAGCCACCAGGCCCAGTCAATAGTTTTATCTTTGAATTTGTGTTTTGAACTGAAGTCTGATGGGACAATGGAGCATGGACCAGGGGCTCTCGAACGGTCCTACCTCCCTGTGTCTCCCTAGAACAGGTTCTTGGCCCACCCTTCTTCCCCCAGGAGCCCCAGGCCTCTTCTGACAACCCCCTCCCTGCCCCAGGGTGGCAGCAACTGGAGGGAGAGGGACAAGCCTCTTGCCCACCCCCGACCCAGGCACCTACAGGTGGCGCTGAGGTCGTAGTACTCCTGGGGGTTACCACCCCATCCCTACCAGCAGGACATGGTACATCAGTCCAGTGGCTGGTAAGAAAGGTACCCCAGCCAGTGGTGGGGTGCACACATGCCCAGAATCATGGAGCAAGGCCACTGGATGCCTATAAAGGTCTGTCTGCATGAGTATCCCCATGCCCCGGGGAGTACAAAACTAAATAGCAGATAAGAAGTCCCATAACAAGTTGAAACTTGACAGAAGAAAGGAAAAGCTTTATATTTTAGTAACGTAAATTGCACTTTGCTCCTGCTCTTTGAACAAGGAGCCCCACACGTTGCACTAGGACCCACAAATTGCATAGCTGGTCCTGGTTAGGGTTCATGCATATGAAGTTCTGTTTCAATTCCAACCCTCTCTCCTCCCAGTCCTCAGCTGCATTAGAACCTCCCAGCCTCTTCTGCTAAGTGGTGAAAACAGACAGAAAAACCCCAGCTGGCAACCACAGAGGCTGAGGAAGCCCTGGGCCATTTCCCTCTCCGGCCTTGCTCTGTGCTCTTGAGTGAAGGATGCCGATGATAGGCTCTGGTGGCAACATCAGGCCCTTTCATCTCAAATAGGCCAAACGCAAGCTTGGAATAAGGCAGCCTTGTGCCTCGGAGCTGCAGATGAAAGGAGAGCGGTGACAGAGGCACAGCCCTCAGAGACGGGTGTCAAAACAAAAGGAACGGCCGAGGCCTGGGGAAAAGGGGAGGGCAGAGGTTCTAAGTTGAGGAGCCGGGACATCCATCCAGGTCTCCACGGGAGAAGACCGCAGCTTTCACCGCCAAAGGAGACAGCTGTCTGCTGGAGGAAATGGGAAATCAAAACTGTTGAAAGGCAACAGGACTAGAGTTTAAAATAGACCCGATTTGACTATTTTTCCTGCTGTTCACAGCCCCTCTTTCTGTCCCTTTCAGAGAACAAGCCCATACTCAGGGAGTCTGCCTATTTGAAGAAAATGCTGGAAACTCCGGCAATCCAGATCTGGGCCAAGTTTCTCTCCCACAGAACCTGTGGTCCTAGAAGGCTTTCTTTTTAGAAAAAGAAACAAGGACTAATCCTTCTCCACTGAGTATAAAGGAAACAGGGTTTGCTGTTCATCACTTACCACTGCTATCCCCGAAAGCAGGTG